TACATTTAACAAGTGTTGATGTATGGTGACATCAATGGAGTCACTGATTGTTGCTGGGGTCTCTCTTTCACCGTAATACCAAACAGAGTAACCACCTTTTGAGTACCTAGAGTTTTTCAATAACAGTTATTAACTTATTAATACCGTATAGCGGGTTTGTTTCGTGAGGGTAAATTTTCGTTTTCCATCCTCAAAATGACTTTCGTGAGGTTAAACATTCGTTCTGAAGACATTAATAAGCTACCATGCCCATTAAAACTGGAATTTTGTTGGGTTAATTGTTCGTTCTCCCATCATGAAGAACGAAAGTTTAGCCTTACGAAACAAACCTGCTATACGGTATCAATATAGCTAGAAAATTAGGTAGAATAAAAATTTTGGTGAATTTGGCCAATTGAGGTCCATTCACTAAAATTAAGTCTCAAATTTTATCCGTAAAATCATGCACATGATTAAAATTTTAATACTTATACTAGACTCACTTTCTTTCCAAGTGATCCGATAGTAATGTTATTGAGTATGCCTTTAAAATAAAAATAATAGCAATAACTTAGTTTTTAAAATAAAAATTTACTTCATCAACGCCAAGATAATCAACGGCATCATCAGGCCCTAGAACAGGCCCCTCCCACTTCTCCCTAGCAACAAAGAAAGAATATCTTACATCTCTCCCTCCCTCTCTCTCTCTCTCACTTAAATGGGTCTCTATCAGTGACATATAGTACAGTGTTATGATCAGGAAGAGGTGAAGAACTATTTGACTCAATAATTAGTACAGCATCGGGTTCCTGAAAACCATTGAAGTATATATAGGAAATCATTATTTTGATAAAACCTATAACTGAATGAGAGAGAGAGAGAGAGCACAATTTAATTATTAATGCTATATCAAAATTAACAAAATTTTAGTTTTAAAAATGCAAAAATATAAAAAAACACAATTATTATTATCATTGGTAGGATACACTGGATTGATAAGGTTAGCTTTATAATGTTGTACAGTGTAGCTTCAATGTACCTTCTCATTGGAGGAGAGACTCACTCAGTTCATAATGGCAACTCAAGATGATGAAACAGGAGGATTCTCTGATAGACCAGGAGACATGGTAACAAAATTGAAAATTTAATTTAATTTTAAATTAAAATTTGATATAATTTTGGCAAAAGAAAATATTAGACAAAGATGAAATTTATTTTATTATAAAATTCTTCTTTTAAAACTTTATTTTAAACTTTATGACTTTATTTTTCTTTTTTAAAGGTTGATCCTTTTCATACCTTATTTGGATTGGCTGGTCTCTCGTTGCTGGGCAATAGACAGATCAAAGGAGTCAATCCGATTTTCTGTCTACCACAAAATGTTATCGAAAGACTTGAACTAGACTATGAACTACTTAAAGAATAATTACTGAATTGATTAATAATAATAATAATCATTAATGATTTTTATAAATTTAATATAATTATTATACAAAAATTGCAATAATAAAATACATTAGTGACAATTAATATTATAGATGAATTTACAGTAATTAATTATTAATTAATTAATTAATTATTGCACTTATTTCCTCAACAGTTTGAGGTGTCCCTTTGTTCAGTACTTGAGGTCCATCAGAAGTAATGAGGACATCATCTTCAATTCTTACAGCAGCTCCAAGAAACCTAAAATAATAAAAATAATGATACTAACATTTCACATGAGGCATAAAGACATTCACGTGCATCAGAAAATGTAATAAAAATTTGATGTGATTTTGAAGCCATTATTTAAAAAACATGGGCTATAGGCTATAACCTTGGGTATTTTTCAGAATTTTGGCATATTTTCTTAAAAAGGCCGTAACTCGAAAAATTGAAGTTGGAATCAGCTCAAACTTTCTACATAGCTTAAGGGCATCAATATGCATCAAAAAATGTAATAAAAATTTGGGGTGATTTCAGAGCCATTTTTCAAAAAAACCATGGGCTATAGTATAGCCTTGGGTATTTTTCAGATTTTGGGTCATTTTTTAAAATGGCCGTAACTTTAAAAATTAAAGTCGGAATCAGCTCAAACTTTCTACATAGCTTGAGGACATCAATATGTATCAGAAAATGTAATAAAAATTGGGGGTGATTTCGGAGCCATTTTTTGGAAAAAACCATGGGCTATAGCCTTGAGTATTTTTCAGATTTTGGGTCATTTTTTAAAATGGCCGTAACTTTAAAAAATTAAGTTGGAATCAGCTCAAACTTTCTACATAGCATAAGTACATCAATATACATCAGAAAATCAATCTAAAAATGTAATAAAAATTATGGATGTTTTCAGAGCCAATTTAAAAAAAAACCATGAGCTATAGTACAGGGGTTTTTTCAAAAATGCTAATACTTTACAATATGCTCATAACACAATAAAGAATACTCACTCTTTAGCTTTGATGTGGTTTTGAATGGGGAAGTCCCTCCTAATGTAGACACCTGGTTCTACAGTAATTACCATACCAGGCTGAAGAACCACGTTATGAGACAGAAGGGGCGTGTCATGTACGTCCATTCCTAAATAATGCCCAATATCGTGAGGATACAAACCATTGAGTGCCTAAAAAATTAAAAATAATATATTAAAAATATAAGAGGGATAGATCATAAAATTTTGATACATATATACTTGAATTAAATCTGGTCCATCTAGATCAGTAGGTAAAATTTCTAATTCTAAATATAAAAATTAGAAATAAATCAAATAAATTACAATTGGTATAGCATTCACTTTTCAATTCTTCTTGTAGCAACTCTTTTGAGACTGAGTGAATGTAATTTAGTGTTACACCAACTTGACAACACTGTGATATCAAAAACAATGCACAAATAAAAATGGAGTAATTGTATTTAAATATAACTGTAATATATAATGTATAGCAATTCGTATATGGGATGCTATGTGTAAGTGCTGGCTATTGACAGGCAAGGCTGGTTGTTGCGCCCAGAGAGAGAGAGATCGCTATACCTCGTGTTGACACCCAAACACTGATCTTTAATAATACAGCATGCAATATAATACAAAATAAGATCATGAATATTTATGAGTTCTGTGATGTCACTACAAATGTAATTATAACCTCATTCCTAATGTCAACAACAAATTTGACAACAATACATGTATTAGAGCAATGGGGCAATAAGAATAACAGTAACTAACTTTAATACAAGCTTCCTTCACTCTCAGAACAGCTTCATAAAGGTCTCTCTGTGCAGCTGTAAACCTTCCATTGACAGGCCAAGTACGTGTAATATCACTAACATACCCACAATACTCAACACCTCCATCTAATAATACTAACTCTCCTTCACTACCAGTGGAAGAGAGAGAGGAAGAGGAGGGAAAGATGGAGGAAGAGAGAGGGGAAAGGGAGATAGAGGTGGAGATAGAGAGTGTCAAAAAAAGAGAGAGAAAGTAAAAATTACTTCTTAAGGAGATGTTAATTAAGGCAAAGTACCATATAGTGGGAAATTTTGGAGGGAGTTAAATTTGGCAAATTTGGCATTTTGATAGCCATTCACCAAAATTAAAATTTGCCATTTTGAGCCACTAGGTGCATGTTCAATGGCACATGGCCACAAATTTGCCAAATTAATTAAAACTCATCAATCACTAGAATTTAGCAACTCGCCAAATTTAAGTGAATTAAGTCCTTCCAAAATTTCCCACTATACAGTATGCATGTGAAGCTAAAGGGACTCACTTTAATTTGAGTTCATTTGTAGTGTAGTGAATATGACAGGCTCTCTCTCCACCTGCTACTACAGGTACAAATGCTAATCTTTGCCCTCCATTCATTTGGCAGTAGTGCTCAAAGTGTGACTCCAATTGATACTCATACATACCTGGGACTGTCAGTGACATCACCTGTATTAAATAATAATAACTATTATTATTATTATTATTATTATTATTATTATTATTATTATTACCATTATTATTAAGAGCTATTTTGCTTTGTGCTGATCAAGTTAGGGCTCTCCATTTCTGATCTTAATTATTGTACTGTTGCTTGTTACTTTATTAGTAACGCGGTAGCGTTACTAAGTAGGATTCCCCCCCAAACAAAATGGCTGCCACGACTTTTGCAGCCTTGCTTTATAATAGTAATGATGATAATACTTGCTTTGCTCTTGTTTGGTTCTTGCTTAAATTTTATTGACTTATTGTTTATTAATAAGAATAATAATATTGCCAAAAGTAATTTTTGGTAAATTTTATTATGGAAAGTATTACTAGTAGACTGGTGATTTTGTGCCAAGTGCTATTGATCATGTTCAGAATTAAGTAAAATGGTGGATATTGGCAAACACTATAGTATCAAGTTTTATGAAACATCTCCTTTTTATGCAGGAGTCAATGGAGCATTAAACATGTTTCATGAAGCTGAAAAATTTCAACTTTATAAAACAGTTACAAACTCCATTGACTCTTATATAAAAGATGTTTCATAATATAAGTTCAATGGTGTTAGCCTTTAAGTCCTAGCTGTCACTATTTCTATTTTAAACAAGAAAGGCTAATTGTTTTTCATTTTCTCCCTCCCCATCAGTTACTGATAATCATGGTGTGTGTATAGTGTATGGATAATGAATTTCTTAAGTTTGGGTGGGGCATTGCAATGACTATCACAACTTAAACAAGACACAAGATAATGTCGTTAGAGGACCAGTGCTGGGCTGCCTTTCAAAATGGCAATCATGATGAAGCTGTTTCCTTACTACCATTAGTGAAGGAACCAAATAAAATCAAAAGAACTTATTACCGAATGATAAGGTTGGATATGGATAGCCAGTTCATGGAGGAAGTGATCTGGACCTTAGGCGAGACTAGGGAGAATACTAGTTTACTTAATTTGTCTTCGAGGCATGGCTGGTTAGATGTTACAAAAGATCTCGTCACTAAATATCACTGTGATCCACATGAATGTGATGATGGAGCTAAGACTTGTCTTGCTTGGGCTGCAGAAGGTAATCATGTTGACACAATGAGATACCTCATCAATGAGTGTCACTGTGATCCAAATCATCTGATGGTTATTGATAAATATGGATATACTGTTCTTCACAAAGCAGCTGATAAAGGATCACTTGATGTCGTGAAGTACTTGATCAGTCATTATCACTGTGATCCAAAGGCTACTAACAATAGTGGTGAGACTGTTCTTCACCATGCTGCTAGACACATTGATATTGTAAAGTATCTCATTGATGAGTGTCACTGTGATCCAAAGGCTACTAACAATAGTGGTGAGACTGTTCTTCACTGTGCTGCTGAACACATTGATATTGTAAAGTATCTCATTGATGAGTGTCACTGTGATCCAATGGCTACTGACTTTAACAACATGACAATTCTTCATAAAGCAGCTAGAAGCAATTCATCTGATGTAGTCAAGTATCTCATCAATGAGAAACACTGTGATCCAATAACTTTTGACAATGAGGGGCAGACACCTCTTCACATTGCTGCTTATTACAGTAATTCTGCAGTTGTTGAATATTTACTATCAACTGGTAAATGTGATCCATTGGCTAAAGACTACAAGGGGAGAACACCATTACAACTAGCTAAGAGCAACTGGTATAACGAGAATTTTCCTGGTTCGCAGTACAGTAGATCTACTCTTACTATCTTCAACAAGTTTGGTAATATAAAATCATCTCATCCAATTGATTCTTATGTTAACATCCTCCTTGTGGGTAATCCTGGAGCTGGTAAAAGTACTCTTAGTCATGTCATTAATGACACAGCTAGTTTTACTCTTCTTGGTTCCTTTAGAAATGTTGGAGGGGTAGTGCCCTGTACTGCTGGTATCATTCCTTATAAACTACAACACAGGACACTGGGTAACATCATTCTTCATGATTTTGCTGGTCATTCGGAATACTACTCCAGTCACAGTGCTGTCATTGAGAATCTGTTACAAGGTTCTGGTGGTGTGTTCCTGATAGTGGTCAATATATTGGAGAAGGAACCAGTCAAACAGCTTCATCAGTGGCTAACAGTTGTGAGAAATGAAGCACAAAAAGCTCTTAATCAATGCCATGTTATTGTAATAGTCAGTCATGTGGATGAGATAAGCAATCCTGTTGAAAGGAGGAGAAAGGAAGAAATAGAGGAGATTATTGTAAGGAAAAGGTGTGATAGTGTCTTCTTAGATTGTCGTAAGCTTGGTGGGAGTGGTTTGGATTCCCTCTTTAAAATGTCTCGAGAAAGTCATCTGTCTAACGACTTTTAAAGATTTGAGTGGTCCCCATTCTAGGAAAACTTTGGCTGCATAAAGCTCTCTTTTGAAGGTATTCTATAAACTGGTACTCTTTGCAATATATCCATTCTAGTATGATTTGAGATCTTTTCTCCCTCTAGCTTCTACATTGATGACATAACAGCTGTTATGATGAGATGTCTGGATTAATGTGACTATTATCCAATGTACTGAGTGTTTTAATCTTAATTTTCTCTTAAGCCGTGTTTTATTGAGGACATCAAGAATAGCGGTCGGACCTACGGCCGAATTTCTCCCTCTGGCAACTTCACTATGACTAATAACGAAACTCTGTGACATTAGTATTGTTCTCTAGGAATCTCTCCAATGTAATGAGCTACAATGAAGTGACTGTTTTTGTCCTGTGGATATTTGGAAGGCTGTTTCTGCAAGCGAAGAATACTGCCGTTTATTGATTATTTTTGATAAACTTGCTATGCATGCAAGTTTTATTTGATTCCAAGTATTAGTTTTTACATTGTAGAATAGTTATCAAGTGTCAGTGATACTGCAGCGTCAAGATATATGAAATAAACAGGCTTTGTAATTTTAACATCTATAGGGCGGCCATTTTGAATAAAATTATTAACCCGTAACGCGCATCAACCATTAATTATCCGAGTGTTTCCAATCCCTGTACACGGGTGTTTCAACTGGACATTTAGTTTATAAATAGAATAGTTGCGGTAGGTACAACATTGGTCAGTGAGGTGTGACCATTAATCATCACAAAAGAGAAGAGTATTGCTAAGGACATTACTCCAAAGTACTAGCTGCTATGACAGTACTACATTCCATAGACCTAGATAAGGTCTCCTAGGACACCCCTAGCTCATGTGCGCATATATAATATCTACTGTGAATAACTGCGCATTGAGCTAAAGCAGCTGCCTAAAATAAACTCATTTCAGCTGATGGTTTTGAGTGGACTTCCTGGCTTTAGGAAAGTTTTTTCAATTGAAGCTCTGGTTTTGCTAAAACAAATAGACTCCGCTTTGACCCTGTAGCTCCACCACAAGACAGTAAAAAATCAATTTAGAAGGTTGTTATGCACAGTGTCACCATGGCAACCATAAAATTTCAAAATTTCTCTGCGCAAACTAAATGTCCAAGAATAATTCATTTGAAACACCCGTGTGTATACTGTATCTATGATCACAGTAGGACACTCTCTTCTATTATCTACTCTTGCTATCAGTCTATCACAACTTTCACAAGACAATGTCTTCGTTATCGTTAGTAGTCTGGCCCCACCAGACTACTTCGTTAGAGACCCAGTGTTGGGCTGCTTTTAGAGATGGCAAACATGATGAAGCTGTTTCATTACTACCATTAGTGACGGAACCAAATAAAATCAAAAGAACTTATGGCCTAATATGGAAGAACACTAGTCTACTTCATTTGTCTTTAAGGCATGGCTGGTTAGAAGTTACAAAAGATCTCATCACTAAATATCACTGTGATCCACATGAATGTGATGATGGAGCTCAGGCTTGTCTTTATTGGGCTGCAGAAGGTAATCATGTTGATACAATGAGATATCTCATTGATGTGTGTCACTGTGATCCAATGGCTACTAACAACAAGGGCGAAACTGTTCTTCACTGTGCCATTGATCACATTGATATTGTAAAGTATCTCATCAATGAGAAACACTGTGATTCAATGACTGTTAACGATGAGGGGCAGACACCTCTTCACATTGCTGCTTATTACAGTAATTCTGCAGTTCTTGAATATTTACTATCAACTGGTAAATGTGATCCATTGGCTAAAGACTACAAGGGAAGAACACCATTACAACTAGCTAAACACAACTGGTTTAGTGAGGTGGCTCACAGTTCAAAACTCATGCAGTACAGTACTCTTCCTATCTTTAACAAGTTTGGTGATATAAAATATC